AAATATTCGCTTCCTTTTATGACAAATTTTTTGGTTGTATTTGTCATATTAGCCTATTAATTTGCTTAAAAACCAATTATAAGTATTTTTAATAGAAATTTGCTACTCAATTTTCTTAAAATGTAGTACATTTAATTTCTACCTTTTTGTTTGATTGAGATTGCAATATAAAAATTTGGATAAATAACATAATTTTGGATTGTAAACTCCTTACCACTTATAAGACACCATCACTTGGATTGTAAAACCAATACATGCCACATAAATGTGTATGTCAGTGCATACACAAGTTATACATGAATTAATATTCAAGTGGGTACATCTGAACTTGACTTTACTCAATAAAATCTTGTTCCAACAAACGATCAATCGTTTTGAGCTTTCATTATCTATGGATTTTTTGTGGGAGCTACTGCTAGACCTTCAACTACAGTATCTATTGCATTTTTCTATTACCCCACAACCTCTCTGATACTGAATTGCTGGTAGACTTGGACATCGGTTCGGACCGTGTTGGTTGCATGGTAACTTATTGTGCTTAAAAACACCATTGCCAGTCACCGTTGCATCTGCAAAACCAACCATCAGTGAGCACATAATGAGTGCTCTCAGGCCAAGGGCTATCAATTTTGTAGATGCAGCCATTGACAAACAAGCTTACCAAAAGGTTGCTTATAGAACAAACAAGCAAATTGGTTAACTTGTTCTGTTGATGCCAAGTTACCAGGGGACACCGAAGATGGAATTTATTGGGGGAGTCTCATGCTATATTAAGACAATTATGGTTTTTTTTCCCCAAATTTAGAGAAAAATAGCCATTGGAAATGAATATTCTTTAAATTTTGAGGTTGAAATCGAAACTGCAAAGTTGTATTGCAACACAAGCCAGCCATAGAGTCAAAGAGTTGTGTAGAGATTACTGTTTTTCCGCATTAAAAGAGAAAATAGCCACTGAAAATCAATAGTTTAAATTTAAGCTCGAACTTAAACGTCGAAAGTTGTATTGATATACATGTCAATCATGTGTATAGCATTGCACATAAAGTCAACGATTCAAATCGTATTCAACATATTTTAACTCTAGAATCGAATACAATTAGAAAGTGGCTTACCTTCAATCTATTGGACATTTAATGTAGCATCTCAAAATATTAAGCACTCAAAATAATTTAATGCACAATAATTAATCAAAGACCAAAAAGAAAATAAAGAGAACAAGTGAAGACGAAGGAAGAAGACGACCAAAACTTACAGCAAAGCCAAAAAGCAAATTCTATTTAGGCAAGGATTAATTGACAACTAATAATAATAATATTATAATAGCAAAATAATTGCAATAAATAAATAATTAGGTCAAACTTCAACAGCCTCCTTTGATTTAAATTCTTCAATCTTGATTATTCTCATAATTTGCTTCAACTTCACGAACGTATCTGATTTGAGTGGCTTGGTAAAAATATCTGTAATATGATCCTTAGATTGAATATATAAAATCTCAATCTCGGCATCAATAACCAAGTCACGAATATAATCACCCTTGACATTAATATGTTTAGTCTTCTCATGAAAACTGGATTTTTTGGCAATGCGATAGTTGACTTATTACTATAGAAAATCTTTGAAGGAATTTTTTGTTCATGCTACAAAAATCCAAACATATGACGTAACCACATTGCATGAGTAGCACAACTGTTAGCTGGATTGTGCTCAGCTTCAGTGGTAGAAAGACCAACAACTTGAAATTCTAAATTAACTTCAGGTTATTTCCTGTGAAAATAAGATCATTCATACATCAATGCACAATAATAGTATCTCCCTTGGAATTAATTTTGACATATAAAGTGTGTTCATAGGGACATCTCTAAAAATTATTCTTTACAAAATAAGAATCAATCTAGGTGTACCAAGCTCTAGGAGCTTGTTTACACCCATACAAAGCTTTTTTCAACATGTAGACTTTGTTTACCTCCCTTTTATTTACATAACTAGCAGGCTGTTCAACATAAATTTCCTCCTCAATGACCCTATTCAAAAAATTGATTTCACGTCTACTTGAAATATCTTCTAAAAATTATTGGCAGCAAGAGAAATAACCATATGAACAGTACCAAGCCTAGCAACAGGAGTAAAAACCGCAAGATAATCAATACTTGACTTTTATTTGTAACCCTTGGCTACTAACCTGACTTTGAAGTGATTCACATCTCTATTCGGCTTGTATTTTGTCTTGTATACTCATTTAATTCTAATGGCTTTCTTTTCCTTAGGAAGAAATTTGAAATCATATTTCGAGAGCTATTATAAATAATTCATACATACATCCAATTTTTTCTTTTATTTTAACAAAAAAAAAGATAAAAAAATCACTTCAAACAGACTTTTTTAATTTTTTCGACTTTTTATAGAACACTCCTAACGGTTTTGGATAACTTTTTTAATTCTAATTTTTTTTACAAAACCTTTCAAGCCCCGCTTTTCACCAAAAAAAACCAACTTCAAACAGGCACATTAATTGCAATAAAAATTTGTCAAAAAATTCTATTTATTATACTATGTGTTTCAACTATATGTTTAATGTTGCTGATCACAACATCTTATAAACATGAAGGAATTTATTTTTTACAGGAGAACTAAGCATGAACTAGTTCATTTCACCCTCGGTCACCATTTTATATCAATGGGACATATTCTGGAGGTGGTTCACTTGGAATCCTCCCAAACTGACTTCTTCCTCTTCATATTCGTCCTTGGGGTTGCCTCGACAACGTTCAATAGCCTCGCAACCTCTATTATACCAATTTGATGGACGTGGCAAGCAAGCTTCAGGGTGCTCGTTGTCGCAGGGAAAACCATGTCTTGCGGCTTCTCGAAGAGCACCATAATTGATAAACTCAGCATCTGCTACTTCAATCAATGATGAGCACACCATTATAATGCTAAAGCATAGAAGGATTGACCCTCGTAAGACAGACATCGTTAAACAAACAAGCATTTGTTGTTGATATATATCAAGTATATTCCTTCAACAAGAAACAAGAATTAGGCTAAAGGGAGCTTTAAGATATGTTTTGCATGGTAAGAGGAAGAATTTATTCTAAAATTTTTCTTGTTATTCTTGTAGAAAGGTTCAATGTACGTACTTCTCTTTCTGAACACATTATTAAGACTAAGAAACGAGAGGAAAAATTAATGGCATATTGGTTGTCAATCGAGCTAAGAAAAAGATTCAAAGATTGAAAATGCTTGAAATACTAGGTCGACTAAAGGCAATGAAATAGAGGGAAGGTTGAGATTTATCATGGAATAGATGATCAATATATGTTTACCTGTGAGGCCTTCAAGGTTCTGGGCATAACACAAGCATGTTCTACCATTTGATGGAAGCAAATTAACTATCTTAATTGAACAAAAGTATTTAATAACTTTAAATGGAAAATAATCAAATTTTGTAACGTCAAGCACTTCTATGAACTTTGTGCATTTATTTTGATTTTAATGTTGTTGCTTGAAACCTACAAGGGTTATGTCCCAAATTCAATTCATGGGAAATAGACCTTTGAGTTGCTTCTAGTGAATTGTTGGGGCTGAAGTCCGACTATGGCTCAAGCTGTCTTCGCGGAGTGCTTACAGGTTCTATCACTCCAGACCTCTCTAGAGGGCTTCCCTCGCGGGTAAAAACTGCTATGGTTATGTACTCTTAGGAGTTCCACATTTAGTGACCCTTTATAACATTTTCAATTAGCAGAAAAAAAAAATTCAATTGATCATGAGATTCAATTGAAGAATAGGAGGAAAAATTTTACGAAGTTGGCAGTAACTGTTCATTGTGAACAAGGTACGCAAGCAGTAATCAATGAAAGAAAGTCCTGCACCAAACTTCAGTAAGGGAAGTTTTCTATACAAATATTTGGACATGATGAACAGGGAGAGAATAGGAAAAAAAATAACGAGAAAGAAGAATTTAACTCCCACAGCAATTTTGCAATACCCTTTGTTACAAAATTGGAACCCGAATAAGTTGTCTTGAGACGAAATAATGATAATAGGTAAGTCATCATTATGTCGTTACAGAGTGTAAGACAATGGAAGCTGCAATCATGCTCGGTGTATAATCAGGGTAAATTGAAGTAAAAGGCTGCCGTATTGAGTGGTGACAAATTCTTTTCGGACATAGTAATCCAATAACCTTTTCAGCAGCAGTTATTTGTTCTTCTTGGAGGCTTTTGTTGTGTATTAGGTCCCTGCAATGTCATTAGCTTTTAGATATACAGTGCAAGAGCTCACTTTTGAAAATCACATATAGCAGACCTATTGAAACTTGGAACATCATTTAATCAAACTATTGAACACCAATCTGTTTACCATTTCTATTTACAGCTTCCATGGAGATCAAATAATAACGAGGTTCATAAACCCTCGAAAAAGAAAGAAAGGAGGGGGGGTGTTGCAGATATCCCTATATTGACATATATAACAAAGCCTCCCTAAAGCCAGTTTCTTTTTACTTCAAAAAGAATTGAGTTGATTATTAATTGCAAATGCATAGCTATTTACTTTTATCGTAGGTGTTGTCATGCAGATAATAAAATGAACTATCAGAGAACAATATCTTGTCTAATTTTAAATTACAAGCACGGGCTCTTACACGAGCAATGGGGCCACCTTCGATGGGGTACAAGCGTGAAAAAGCGATTCAGGGATTATAGCTGAATCCAGAAGAATGTTGGGGAGGGAGATATATGATATTCTAGCTTTGCGCCTTATAAACCATTCGGTCAGGAGATTGGCCCGACAGGCAACAACACAAGGTAACTGTGCAAGCTGCAACTCAATAGGTGCTGTGCCAGATGCACAAAACGCTACATTGCTAGCCTGCATACCATTGGAACAAAATTTGGTTAGGTAATGAATCTCAGCAAGAATCACACAAAATTCCATGACCATGGAGAATGTTTGTGGTGAAAAGTAGCAGATACCATCAGGCTTTTGTCAGACAAGTTCTAATTGCATCCAGGTCTATGCTCTGTTATCTGCCTCAGTTATGCAGAGCAAACAAGTGACAACAAGGATTAATCAAAATAAAAGGTCCCAAGAGAGGTATCAATATCCTCCATTGTACATAAAAAAATATTCAAAACAAATGGTCCTTCAGACCATAAATCAGTGTATACCTTAAATACACCCAAGTGCAAAGGTTCTTTGTCACTGACCTAATGAAGTAAAGTTGATCATTTCAACTTCAAAAGATTAATATATATATGATCTCATCAGATTGTGGCCAACATCCAATTTGTTATTGGGGGTTGCCTTAACAACAACCGGCTAACTATAAATCATCAGAACATATTTCCTTTCTTATTTATTACTTTGTTTTCTATGGAAATGTGATCCAAACATAAGCAGGGGTAAACGCACTGAGAGTGTTCAGCCAAATTTGTCACAAAGTGCCCCCAATAGTGGGACATTAGCCATGAAAAAATGAGAATGGGGCCTTACACTATATGCATCATACTTCAGCTGTGGAGATCCTCCAGGAATCAATACTACAGATACAGGCCACTCACGAACAGCTTTGCTGACATATTCTTCCACATGCCGATTAGGTGCCACATGAACTACCGTTGTCAACTCTGAAAATGAGTCTTTCAATAGTTCCATAGTGTCTGAGAAAATGGGAATCATTCGCACTACCTCTTGAAGAAAAAAGTGTGAAAATTGTTATTTGGAGTAAAATACCACATCCAGTCAAAAAATGTCAGATTCCAAGTACATGGTGAAGCAGGAGGGAGAAATAAAGTTGCCTATCTTCATATATTGAAGTATTGAACTATATTAAGTCGAAATAAAGTTGCCTATCTTCATATATTAAGTCGTATTGAACTATATTAAGTCGCATTCCTCTCTCAAGAAACTTATTTGATCGTCGGCGGGGATACGCCGAAAAATACTCCGGCGCCCTTCTAACCTGTCTTTCTCTGTTCTAGGAACCTCTCTTAGCCTTACAAGACCAATCTGGTGGCCCACATGAACTATTCATTACCATTTCTCAGGCCACCTCCGGCCCTTACAACCTGTTCCAAGTAGCAAGATTGACGGACTCGTGTTCACCATGGAAGAGATCTGTTCTTGTGTTTATATTGTGCAAGATCGTGCATGCACATTTATCAAAACTTTTTCTCCATTCTTTTTTTATCTCTCTTTCTCGGTAAGTAAATGTGAACCCAAAATTTTTACAAAATCCCCACGATTGAACAAAAACAAGTGAACATGTAATACTATAAATAAATACATCATTGCATGTAGGATCACAAAAATACCAAGCACTCAAAATAATCTAACACACATTAATTAATCAAAGACCAAAAAGAAAAAAAAGAGAAGAAGTGAAGAAGAAGTAAGAAGACGACCAAAAACTTACGACAAAGCCAAAGAGAAAATTCTATTCAATCAATTCTTCAGAGTACAAAGCAAACCTATTCTAGTTTATATATAGTAACCCTACTCCCAGATTTAAGGAACCCAAGTAGTCTTCTCCAACAAGACAACTCTTTCTAATTAATCAATTTCCTATTAAGACTGTGATAAATTAACAACTAATAATAATAAAATTATAATAGCAAAATAATAGAAAAAAATAAAATGCACGAATGTATCTTATTTGAGTGGCTTGGTAAAAATATTTATAATTCGATCCTCAGATCGACAATATAAAATCTCAATCTCAGCATCAATAAACAACTCACGAATATAATGATACTTGACATTAATATGTTTTGTACTCACTTGAAAAATTGGATTCTTTGCCAATGCGATAGTTGACTTATTATCCCATAAAATTTTTGAAGGAATTTTTTGTGCATGTTGAAAAAATCCATACATACGATGTAAACACATTGCCTGAGTAGCACAACTGGTGGTTGCATTATACTCTTTTCAATGATAGAAAGAGTAACAACTTGAATTTCTCCATTTACTTCAGGTTATTTATTGTGAAAATAAGATCATTCACATATAAACACACAATAATAATATTTTACTGGAACATACAAATTGTGTTCATAGAAACATCTCTATAAACCATTCTCCACAAAATAAGACTCAATTTGGGTGTACCAAGCTCTAGGAGATTGTTTAAAGCCATACAAAACCCTTTTCAACCTGTAGACTTTGTTTTCCTTCTTTTTATTTCCACAATCAATAGGTTGTTCAACATAACCTTCCTCCTCAAAGACACTATATATGCTAACACCATTAAAAATCCTTATATCGTACCCATTTTTTGATAACTGTCTCATACTCAATAAATTGTGACTTAGACCTGGAACATAATAAACATCTAAAATAACATTGAAGGACCCATCTTTCAACTTGATATAAATCTTACATTTTCCTTTATTCAGATGGTTGAAGCATTCCCAAATTTAATATATGACTAAACAAACTCATCCAATTCGGTGAATATCTCCTTGTAACCACACATGTGATTACTGCAGCATTAATTCATGCTATATTAACTATCCAATTTTTGATTTTCCATCCACATGTTTCTTCCGTAATTAGTTGGGGAAACCATTTGTTGTCCTTGGTTATTAAGAAGTATAGTTATCATAACTGGATTAAATATCAAACCACTAGAAAGACTAAGTGAATAGTTAGTTGGATCAATCGGTGCGTCAAATGGTTAGACCGATCGTATAATTAAAAAATAAAAAATTTAGAATAATTTAACCAAAACAAAATATATGAAACATGTTTACAATTTATCATACCATAACCCCTCATGATTAAATTATCATCGCCTAAATAAAAACACATCATTCCAAATATGATAATCATTATCAACCCTAAAAACACATCATCCTACAAATAAGTCAAAATTGGACGGATTTAGGGCCCAATTCACCTGCCCAACTTGCTGGTTCAGTTCTGATAGCACTGTTGAGAAGCATTAATCACATAAAATTAAAATTATAATTTAAAATAATTCATAAGCAACTTACGTGTGCACCAACTAGTAAATTAAAATGGTAACATTGTAATCTAATAGTAAATATTCGCTTCCTTTTTTGACAAATTTTTTGGTTTTATTTGTCATATTAACCTATTAATTTGCTTAAAAACCAATTATAAGTATTTTTAATAGAAATTTGCTACTCAATTTTCTTAAAATGAATTACATTTAATTTCTACCTTTTTGTTTGATTGAGAATGCAATATAAAATTTTGGATAAATACCATAATTTTGGATTGTAAACTCCTTACCACTTATAAAACACCATCACTTGGATTGTAAAACCAATACATGTGTCACACCCTGTTTTCTTTTTTTCTCCTTTAAAAAAAAAAACCCAAACATGATAAAAGAATAAAATTACACCGAACTTACAATAATCTTCCTTATATTATTTTATTTTACTTACGAGTACATAATCCTCACAAGATCATTTCAAATATTCTTGATACAACATAAAGAGAAATAATAATAGCAGACTCTATCCTTTCAGCCTATCATCTAGCTTGGCTTCATATATCTGAAAAATATTAAATAGGGATGAGCTCACCAGTTCAATAGGATAACGTTTATCAATGACTACCAAAGTTTTAAAACAATGCATAATATAATTAAACCGTGAATAAATGCAGGAATAGGGCAAAGTAATGAATCAAATAAATAAATAAATTTCAGCATATATCGATCATATCAATCCATCAATTTTCTGGTCCACACATGAACCGCCTCCGGAGAAAACTTTAGAGTCTTGCACCTTACGGAACCCAATGCCCTTCTTGCTTTTTTGGAAACACCAATACCGAAAATTATGTGGTGCCACACAGGCTATCATGACAACCGATATTATTAACCAATGAACCCAAGGACTAGTAGGAATCCTGTGAATCCTCGTAAGGATCACGCATCTACTAACCCTCTGCCTCGATTATGTGCATTCATAGTAATTTCATCAAAATCACAAAATAAAATCCTATCGTAGTCAGACCCCACAACAAATCAAATATTAAATATTAATAAAGAAATAAACATTTATTATGCAACATGGTTTCATGAAATAATTAGGGTCTCGATAAAAATATAATATGTGCATGATAACTATTTATTTATAAAACCCAAGTTTGACCCCATGATTATAACGATATAATTTTATATTATATAATTAAAAATAAATTTGATATGAAACCCCCAAATATGCATGAAATGCATTAATGATAGTAAAAGATAAAAGAAACTCTACCTCCTTCTTGACTTATATTCGATACCGTGTACTGTGATAAAATAACCAAAATAATATTTTAGAATAACAATAGATAATAAGAGCTTAGTTAACCTAAAATAATTTTTTGAATAACTAACGAAAGATAATGATACTTAAATTTGATCAAAAAATAATTAATAAAGATCAACTTTAAGTGACTCGAACATATAAAATTTACTAAATAATAACTAAAAAATCTTATCCAAAATTTTTGACCCCTTTTTCCTCTTTCCTTTCTTTCTCCTTTCCTTTCTTCCTCCATTTCTCTCTTTTTCCTTGCACAGTTCAATGTACTAAGCTTAGCTATTTATAGCTAAGATTTACTTGGGGACCTAGCATTCTCATGGACACTTGTCCATTGCTTCACCATTTTTTCTTTTTTTTTTTTTGCACGTTTTTACTGTTCATGTGCTCTAATCTTTATATAATATATATATATACCTAAATTGCTCAATCTTTTTAATTAAGATTGGATTTGTTAATTACTCTTTTATGGTTAATTTCATCTTTGAAAATCTTACCTGTTGAGTTTTTTTATTAATTGCAATAAGATGCTGAGAGACTGATTGATCTCTTAGTTGTCTTAATGTCTTAATTTCTGGTTTACTAATAAAATTGAAAGTTACTGATTGACCAAATGACTTAGTGGTTACACCTTTAGTATCTGTTGTAAATGGATACAACAAGTATTCAAATGGTAATCCAAGGATGACTTCACTAGTCATATTTTGTACTAAGACAAAAGATGTTTTGAAACATACATTGTCTTGACAAATATGAACATTTGGCAACTTATATTTAACTTTCATTTTACTTCTATTTGCTGAACTAAGTTTCTCAAGTGTCTTTTGATAATACTTAGTTGGTATTATTCCTTCTTGAATACAGTTAACATCTGCACCTGTATCAATAAGGACAATGGTTTCAAGTTTAAAATCATTAATCATGATTTGTACTTGAGAATACCATTTTTGGAAACTAATTTTGTTAACCAAATTAATTCTATAACTATCATTGGTTTGTGAACACCCATCATGAGATGGCAGCTTCGTTTCACCCAAATTTTCCACTAAAGAGGTGGAGGTTACAGGTATCCGCTGTAATTGTGTTCCATCCTGAGATTCTGTCTCAGATTGTTCATTAACTAATGACTGTTTTTCAAGATTAAAATCCTTTGTAGTGCCAAAGCTATCTGTGTGTAAAAAACTTAAAACTTCTGCAAATTTCTTGTCTTGAGCTTTTAGTTTTTTAATTTCAGATTTAATTTTATTAACTTCAGCTTGAAGATCTTGTAAAGTGAGTTCTTTCTTTTTCTCTTTACTAAATCTTTTCATAGCTGTGTTGAAGCTAATAAGTTGCTTACTACTGGAAGCATTCTTATCATCTTTTTTTACTAAAAGATCTTTGAGTTTT